CATCTGTGCCTTAAAGGCACAATAGTGTTTTTTTATATGACACAGAAAATGCTGCAGTACTGTACACTGAAAAGACCCTAGCAAACCAGTATTCTCAAGTCCACAGAAGCAAAGGAATGTAGTGCAGATGTATCAGTCCTGTAACTATTCTGGACATTGAACTGCTCTCTTATCTGTGTGAGAGCCTTTCTGTTTATGTGGGTCCCAGCACAGCGTAAGGCTCTGACACAGTAAGCTATTTTTCCAGTGCAGGTGATGGAGACTGGTGAATATAGTGGATTTGAAGGTCTGTAAAACCATCAAGTAGTTTTGCCAAATTCATAAATACCATGCAACAGCAAATTCATAAATGGGTCTTCTCTGTAACATGCTTCCTGTGCAAGGAAGTTTATCTACACACACAGGCACTCTTAAAAATGTACCATTTTCCTGATTAAAAAAGAGCCAGTTCTATCATGAAGAATAAAGAATGTCTGTGACTCGCTAAGAACTGCACTGACTGAGATAAATGCTGGTTTCCATCTTGATGCACCTTAATCTTACAGAAACCTTATCTGACGTCTGTTCCAGACTCTGCTCTGTTGTGAATCTCACATGAGTGGTTCACTACTTCACAGCAATGTGTTCATTACAAGTGGCAATATCAGTTGACTTCTTTTCAGCTAAAAACATATTCAAGCCTTTGTCCAGCGTAATCTTTTAGAAGACATTCATTTTATGCTCTTTTTTTCTTGCTTAAATCTATCTAAGACTTCCTTGACTTCTAAAGACCTCTCTTTTATGTTGCAGTATTACATGCATGCCAGACACTTGGCCCTCAGCAGAACATTCCCTGACAAATTTGAAATGGAACCAAGTGCTCCACCAAAGGTAAAGTCTGCTTTTGGAGATGAGTTCATCTGCCTTTCAGTTGCTTTGCGGAAAGAGAGAGAGAGAGAGAGAGCATGAGAGAGAGACAGCAGAGTTAGCAAGTTTTGTTTTAACTGAAGGGGAGCAGGAAGTCACAGTTACAAAACCAAGTTCCAGTCAGGAGTTGTAATGACATCAGATGCAAATAGTAGGGGCACCAGTTGCAATACAGGGACAGTTCTCCAGGCAATTTAGAATGACATGGATGAAACTATGCCACTTTAGACAAGCCAAGGAAGTGGCCCTTGGTTTTCCTATTAGAAGACTGGCAGCTTCTAATTTTGTTGCTGATAAAGGGCCAAGGAGAGGTTCTGTAACCGAATAAAAGGGGAGTTGTGGAAGGATAGTCTGGAAGACAGAGGCAAAGTGTTGCTTTCACCTGAACAGGGTATGTGAGGAGAAGACTGTGGCCAGAACTGCAAAGGGCCAGAATAAAGGCACACACCTGCAATCCTTTCTTACACAATGCGTATTATCACCAATTTGAGAGTGCAGGCTGCTCAGTTCTGATCTAAGAACAATATTGTTTGAAACCAAATTTCCAGACACCTCCAGATAGCAGCTCAATTTTTGAAATAGTAAGGAGAAAAGAGGCTCAGGCCAAAACCCCTTGTTTGATTCTGCTTTTTGCAGAAATAGACAATATAACTAGGAAACTGCTTTAAGACTGCAGACTAGTTCTGAATATCTGTAGGTACATTCCAGCTGCGGAGTTCAGAAGGATTTCATGTAGGGGTGAATATTTTAAGGCCCTAGAAAGATACTGAGTTATACTTTGCAGCAAGCAATGCTAGAAGGGCACCATATTGTTGCAGGCCCTTAGGGGCACAGAAGGACTGAAGAAATCTACATTCAAGAGAATTTAATTTTGTGTGCAGAACAGGTCTGTCTTACATTCCATCACTAGTGTTTTGCCTTGGAGTGCTGACAGCCTTAAATTCCTGTTTACAACCAAATGAGGAACACTGTGATAATATATATAACTTGCTTCTCTCTCTACCAGACGGAAGGTTTCAGGTATCCCAGGCCTTCATCAGTGCCACCATCACCCTCTGTCTCTCAGCATTCCAGCCCTCACCATAGCGAAGGGGAAGATGAAGATGAGGATGAAAGATATGATGAGGATGAGGAAGCTGAGAGGGATAGGCAAAACATCAAGTCTCCCTTTTCCCTTGGAGTATTGCCGCAAGGAAAGAAGAAGCAGCATGGAGAATACAGGAACTGAATTCATTGCTCTCACCCTGGCAGGGTCTCCCTCCACTCAACCATTTCTCCTGTAGAATTGGCAAGCTTTGCGTTAAGGACAATGTGGTATAATTAGAGGAATCTTAAGTGTTACTTGAGCTACGCTGTTGGGGAGCCTAATGTTATTTTACCGTGCAAGTAGTTTAAATGACAATTCTGCTGTCCCCGTTGGAGATAGAAGAGATTTTTCAATCTTAATAAACCTAGAGAATGTGACAGTCCCCTCATGAGCCTATATGTACTGTAGATAATACTTTTGTCTGCATAATCATCTATATTAATCATAGTCCGTGCTGATAGCTCCATTATGGTTGTTCCAAATGGATCCCTGCTTCATTTATGCCACCCCCCCTTTTCTTTTCCCAAACTAACATGAACTTTAAGCCAGAGCACAGAACATTTAGAGAAAAAAGTGTTATACTGGGGAAACCTTGGAAGGGTTAAAAAAGATAAATTGAAAAGAAAATGGTCTTTCTTCTTCCTTATGCTGTTTATCTTATTGTAAACTTACATCATTTAAAATATATTTTTTACAGCACACAGAAGTGTCTTGATCCGGTTGTAAAACATACTGCCTGTGGGGAAATATAAAGTCTTATGCAGTGGGCATTTTAATTTTTAGAGACAGATGAAGTCATCTTTCTGAAGTCATTTAGACCCACAATAAACAGCAGACCGTTTATTTTCTGATTCCTCTGGTATATCTCTTTTATTGTTTTTGTTCTGTCTTAGATTAAGTTTATTAACAAACTAGTTTGGGGGGGATATTAATGTGACTTGGCTCAAGAAAGTGACAACATTTGCAAAGTAATGCTTGCCCCTGCAGACAAACCTACATGCCATAGAGCAATGGGCCAACATTCAAAAGCAAGTAACCTTATTTCTGCCAATTGTCCAGTTAGTCCATACTCTATTTCACTTCTGCAGAAAAGATTATTAATTAATAATAATTAATATTAAAAGAATTCCAGGAATAGATCTGCCCCAAAGACATAATTTTGAAAAGCATCAGAAACTTGTTTTTCAAAGTGCTTAGGAAATAACTGAACCTCACAATGGGAACTTGACATCTAGATTGCCATCTAGACAGCTTCTAAAGGTATTTCAATTCCCAGAGAGTGCCTGATCAAGATCTTCAGAAGTAAATCTTAATATGAAGACACAAGGAAGCAGATTCATCTTTCATTTTTAGGAGTTTGTGTATCAAGAATTTCTCATGCTTTGCAAGATTCCCAGGAATTGATTCAGACCGTTTTTTAGAAAGAAAGATAATCTAACTGGAGGTATTTACCTTTGCTATCAATTCTAAGGGGAGCCTAGATGGCCAGCTTTGATTAGTCACCTAACTTTCAAATGCTTAACTGACATTACTTGAGATGGGTGTTACCAGAGATTGTAAAAAAGGAAGTGATGGGTACCTATCTGTATTTTTGGCCACCTAAAATCAGTTTTTAAATTAGAATTTCATTCTTAAGCTACTCTGGATACCTAAAACATAACTATTCTCAGAGGACAGACCTAGATTTTTATGTCAAAAGCTTCCTTCAGATTTAAAAAGAATTGCCAGTGTCTAACCATTTTAAAATACCTAAAAACAATTAACGGGTAGTTATTTTTGATGTGAAAACTCTGAAAGCAAAGATATTGCAAATGATTTTCTTCATACAGTTTTCAAAGTGGAGAACAACTGCATTTTGTCAATTCAAAAATGTAGATTCTTGCCTGGAATGATTTTATCTCAATTAAAGTTCCTTTGCAGAGTCAAAGAATGTAATGGCTGAGAGTCTCAACAAAAGAAAATTTAAAGGGCACATGAAACCGCAAAAAGATGTGTTAAGACTGGACAAAGATTAAAAAAATAGTTCCTATTTTAAATCATAGTGAGAAGATAAAATCTTGAAAAAAAAAAAGGCCAAAAACCTGGAAGGAAAAAAAATGGAGATGGTAGGTCAAAATATATTTCTTGATACTTTAGCAATATTTTGTTTCAATTTTGACCTTCGTAAGTGTTTCTAAGCAACTAATTTACCTTTTTTGAAAGAAAATTTAGTTAATATCAAAACAGGAATTTGTTATGTTTCAAAATGTTAAAACTTTTTCCCCAAACCATTATTGATGGAAAGCAAACTTTCTCTTTCAAAAAATCAATGATTTCAAGAAATCTGACGTTATTGTTTAGACTTCGCTGCACCATTCACTGAATGAGGTAAGAAAAAAATCTTACCTCAAATCCCCATTATCAAAATTGCATCAATTAACATCAACTGAAAATGATCCCGTGCTTTCCTTCCTTTGTTGCCTAAAATTACATGGTAGCCACATGGTGATGAACATCTATTTTATCATCGTTGCAGACTCAGCTTCATTGCAGTGCTTGAAGATGCGATCACTACATATGTACTGTAAGTCATGCTAAATGACTGAGGCAAAACAGACAATATGCAATATGGAAGACTTTTACAATGGTTGCGTTAAGACAGCTTCCCATGTTCTGGACAAGTGAACAACATGCATGATCCAGGTTGCAAGTTCTCTTAGACATGCCTATGATGTTTGAGTTGCCTGGGAAGAATAGAAATCTGGCATGACATCACACAGAAATTCAGCTGCGTTGGTTTCATCACACTCAGGTGCTGTGAGCACCCACCCAGCAACAGAAAGTGCACAACTTTCCATATAAGACTAATGTGACTACTGTGCCCATTCTTCTCAGAAATGGACCTGCAGTGGCCAAAGTGACCTCTGCCTCATGTCTCTAAGCTTATTTTAGTTCCACCTTGAATGTTAGGACCAGCTGTCAGTAGCAAGACAATAGACCTATGGCAAAACGTGTCTGTCCTTTGAGCCTGTAGTGTTAGAGGGAATGGCTTTTCGATCATTCAAGGCAATAGACTTTCTAACTCAAATGCTACACATTTGTAACTGACATCTGACAAGCTTGGTAGCAGCTACCTGTTACACAAGCAATTGTTTGCCATATTGAAAATATCAAATTTTCACAAATACCTCCTTTTCAAGGCAGAACTTTTATTCTGTTTCATGGCATCTGGAAAGAATTGTTTAAATGAGTGAGCTTAGATTTACAGGAATATTTGGCGATATCAGTCAGTGGGGAATGTGATTAGCATAATTTTTATATAGCTGGGACATTTAGAGGCACGTGAGTTTCATGGTACGGAGAGATCAAAAGGTGTGTAAGTTTCTTTGTCTTAGGACTTTCTGTTTTATGTCATGCTGAAAAATATGCTGAAAAACAACTCAGATGCACCTGAGACATTCAGAGTAGGCTTGAAACAAAGCCCAATTAAATGAATGAAAAGATTCCAGTGGATACTATTGTTCTTTAGATTAAGTCCATAGTGAATGCGGTGAGTAACCTAGTATATACTGCTAGTGATGAATATACTAGCACTTAAAAATAAACAAACAAGGGCATTTCTATTCCTCCAGTTATGTTCCTCCATGAAGTGATATAAATTATAAGCAATAACTGAAAGTTTCTATGACCTCATAGTAGGAATTAATTCCTTTTTTTACTTCAGCTGTGTTTCTTTGTGTTGAGAAGCTACATTGTATTTAATGTGAGTTAGTATTATTAATTAACAGTGTCATGAGAAAGATCAGAGGAAAGCAGCATTGAAAGATCAAAAGCACAATTAGGGTTAAAGGTTAAAAAATAAAACATAGTTGCTTGGACACAAGAATCATGTGGCTACTTTTTAATTACATGAGAACTACAGAAGGCTTTCCAGTAATACCACAAAACTACATAAATAATGTTAAATATAACCTTATCAGCATGGAATGATAATTAACCAATTTATGTATAATTCCAATTTTGCAACTCAAAAACCAAACCCACAAAAAGTACAATAACGGTGTGCCTCCTGACAGCAGTAGCAACCATACGCCACGGTCGTTAATGAAGCCCTGATCCTGGTAAGAGCTATCCACGTGCTATCTTTATGTGGTGAGAGCTGTTCAATAGGACTGTTCTGGGTATACAGTTGAGAGTGTGTGTAATGCTGGGGCAGCACTGAGGTCTCAGAAAGCGCTGTTGCCTGTTCTCTATGGTGACAGGTTTCCCCGGAAGAAACGACCTGCTTTGCTGCCAAGAATAGCATGATTGTTGTCATATCTTAATGACTTATTTGGAAGATCAACAAAATACAGGGCCAACAATGAAGTGGTGAAGGAGTAAGAAATAAAAAGGTTTTAAAACAGAGCCAGGTGGAAAGTGGTAAAAGGTTTTCCAGTGACTGTTGAAAATTGTTTTAATGACATAGTTGTCTAAAAAGACAATTTTAATCATCCTTTCAGCTAAGATGGTACAGTGGATTTTAAATTTCAGGTGACATATGCGGAATGGTCCAAAAAAGACTGGAACTTTGCAAATAATTTCTTAGCTGAACTGGTCACTTTTAATCAATTTGCTTTCGAAATGTTGGAACGAATGTATACATCATTCTTTTGGAACTTAAGTGGAGATCAAAGAAAATAAATGTTCTGTTCACACAAAACATGATTTCAGTGTTTATACAACATGAATGCTACAGAAATTTGAAATATTTCACCAGTTTGATAGATTATCTGTCAAGTATCCAGGGTGATCACTGGTTTCTTCTTCAACTGCAAGATAAGATACAATGGGGAAAAATAAGCTGTAGAAAAAGGAAAGTTCATTCACCCAAAGTTCTCAGGAGATAGATAAGCCTCAGGCACAGGCCTAGTGTAACGTGACTATTTAGCTGGGAGGTACAGGCATCTGTAGAAAGGATCATGCCTCGTCATTTTCAGTGTAGGAAGTTTTATGCTTGCTGAAGGGCAGAGACACAAGCCATGTCCAGAGGCATATTTAAGTACAAGGCATAGATTTTTCATGGAGAGGAAAATAAAGTATTCATTTTTCACCTGGACATGTGCCTTAATTAAAAGTATTCTAAAATCACCTGAAAGTGGTCTTCCGAATGTACATGGCTTATCCATATTTGACTGTTTTGTCATGTCCTACTGCAGTGAAGGTAATGTTATTCCATGGAGTATTTTTCAAACAAGCTCCCTGTTTTGCTTGGCTCTCTCAGATATGTCACCTTTTTTCTTAAGAGGCTGATGCTGTCCGCTTCCTTCTTTGGAGTAGCAGCAGCAGGCAGGAAAATACCATTAACATTTATGAGTCATGAACTTCAGAGCATTTTTCTCTTCTTGTTAACACACAAATGACACTGGTTTATCTTTAGAACTGCTTATGTATTTTGTCCAAAGCGTGACATTCTTTGTTAATTCTGCCATTCTCTCTCAGCTAAAATACCACTGAATTTCTTGGTTAGCAGAGCGCTGCCTGGCCAGGGAAGAGATAACTGAGCGCAGAGTCCCAGCGTTATGTGAAGTACAGTGGAGATTTTAGAAAATGGAGAAGGCAGGAGTAGTTCCAGGACATCTGCACACATACCAGGTAAACTCTGTGAAGTGTTTCTCACACCCTGCTTCACTTCAGGAAAACTGTGTATGTTAGATAACTAAGGGCAGGTGATATCCCAATGATGGGAAGATGTTTTTTTTCATACAGTGTTGGTCACATCAAGGGCAAGGAGGCAGTAACAGGTTTACCTTAAACACTCATCTATGTGAAAGGTACAAAAGTACCTCATATTTTACTAGGATTTTACTTCATATTTGCTACCTCAAGTAAAGGCAGCTTTTTCCTCCTGTCGTGGTGAGAGTGGCTAAGAGGCTGAATAAAGAACTTACAGCCAAGATAAAAAGAAACCATGTAGTTTTCTTGTGAGCTTTTGTTTCTCCCTTGATCAAAGAGACAAGCAACATAACTTAGATAAACTTCTGCGCTTGCATAAGCCACCACAGCTGCCCCAGCACCCAGGGGCCAGAGCACAGCTCAGACTCTCCACAGCACGGTGTGGTGTACCCTCACCTTTGCAACTTCCCTGTTCCCAGCCACATTTCCAAACAGAGCAGACCTTAAGCAAAAAACTATCCTTGTAACTGAAGATATAAAAGGTAGAAAGGCATAGGAGTTGGAGAATGTAGTTCTAGGGTCTAAGCCTGGAGAGCTTTAGGTATGTAGTCAGAAGATGAGGTGTTCTGGATAATGGATCTGGAAGGAAACTCGTCTAGGGAATGAACTATAGCAGGGTAAGGGAGGTGGGGAACATGAGACAGGGGTCCCTGCCCAAGGGAGTGCAACAAGTGTGGGGGAACACCGGTCTTTTAGGTCTAATGCAGGAGGTGGGTCTTGTTGGAGAAGGCTGTGGAAAGGAGGCATATATTTTGAGCTTCTGATCTGAGAAGCTGAAATATGTAGCAGGAGCATGGAAAAGCAGGTAGCGAGGAGACAGAGATGGGAGGGTTTGACAAGATCTCTGGGAAGTTGGGAAACAGATAACAAATTACTGGATTTTTCAGAATACTTTAGGGCTCTTCCTCTAAATCTTGTTGGGATCCCCTCTCAGCTGTGCCAGCAACAGAGTTCTCAGGAAACAGACATGAAGCTCACAGCTCCTGTGCCGGTGCTTTTTAGGACTCTTTTACGCCCTTCTACCAGGGTAAAAGACCCAACAGAGAAATGAAAATCTCATAAATAAATAATATTCTGTAGAAAATTGAGCTCCAATAGAGACGTTTTGTTTTGGGAAATTCAGTTCAAAATAAGGGTTCCCTTGAGTCTAAATCAATAAAAAGCTGAAAAGCAAATGAAAAGCAGAATATACAAAAGCTTGCTTACCATCAGTTCTCAGCTTCATGCTCTAGTTTGTCTAAATGTATGCTCTAGTACAATACAGTGGAATAACATCTGATTTTGAACTGGATCTTTCAGATTAAAGTATTAGCAAATGAAATAGTGATAAACCCCTTTTAAAAGGTCAGAGTAAAACAAACATGCATTTACCTTCTTCTTGTCCTTTCTGTAAGGAACTAAGAAATAGGGCTGCAGCTTCAGGAAGAGATAAAGGATTTGTGTTTTGGCTACGTGTTTCTAGAATCACAAAATCAGAGATACATAGTTTGTTCGTGTTTGACGGCATTTCTTCATTTTGCTCTTTGCTTTTTTGTCTTTACAACTAGAGACCCAAAGAGAGGAAAAAATATTGTTGTCTGCTTCACATTATAGCATTCACAGCTGAGAACCAGCCCGATAAAGGTCTAACACAAAAGAGATTACCTGTCTTTTTAAAGGGGGAGGGTATTTTTAAGTCCTTCACAAAGTAGGAAGAACTTTTTTTTTAAATGTGTTTCTTATTTTGCTGTGAGGTGCCGTTTGCTACAGAAACATTGTCTAAAACTGATTAATGTAGTCTACCTTTGTCATTTGTGATATCAGCATAATTAATAATTTGATTTTACTTTTTCCAGCAGAGAGAGAATTTCACAGGGATTGATGATAATCTCACTTACAGCCAGGTCAGTGTGCAACATCACTTCTTACATCAGTGAAGTCACACTGGTACACAAGAAAGAAAAATCAGACACACAGTCTTATCATCTGCTTTTTGGAATGAAGGAATAACAAAAGGGAGTTTAATTGTTTCTTTGAATATAATTAAAGCAAAAAAAAAAACTTTCAGTTTTCGTAAATTTCTCTGCTAATCCGAGGAAGGATTGATGTGTTACGTACATGTGTGCATGTTCACTTACCAAGTTGCATTCTGTCATACAGATCCTTTCGCTGGCTCTCATCTGAGATGAATCGACGTCCCTCTACAAATACAGTGGGAAAAGGATAAAAATAACCTCCAAACCTATATTAATTTCTACAGTCAGTACTTCTGAAAAACAAAGTTACAGCAGTTCTTATAGAAACATAAAATGAGATGCATGTCTTCATCCTTTTGGGGACTTTCCAAATCAGCAATAGCCCATCCTGAACTGGAACAGCCCAAGGCATACTTTATTCCGTAGAACTGGGGTTTCAGCATTTTTCATTCTCGTAATAACTTGCTATAACAGCTGTAGATATGGAGAAATTTACTCTCTTTTCCTTCCTCTTTCCTTTTCCTTGACTGCTGTACAGTTAGGTTCCCCCTGTCTTTTTGCTGGTCTATAAATGAATAGCTTTTAAAGAGGTATATCTGTTTAAAAATGAAAAAGAGCTAAAAAAAAAAGTTATTTCCTGTGTATCAATAAGATTGATACACAGGTCAGTACAAAAGAAATACAGAGTATTCTTCATTGGAAGAATCAGACAATACAAAAAAGTGCCAAATTCTTTGCTGTTAGGAATAGAAATAATTTTATTTATGTCACTAGAATTTCTTCCAGTTACACTTATGGTTGTTTGGGCCCTAGATCTATTTTGTGTTGTTATTATTTTTATTTTTATTGTCTCCCTTTTATTTTTCTCTTGGGATTGTGAGCTTTATTTTTCATTTTTTTCATTTGAAGGAAGCTATTCTTTAAGCTTTTTACTGTTGCAATACATACCCCTGCCTGATCGCTTTTAATTTTGAAATAGCAATTTCCAATGAAATTAAAAAAATAGAAAATATTTCTGTTAAATTTTGTATTTTTGCCTCAGAGGACAAATCCTTTCTTTAGATCTAAATTTTATCTTTGTATTTAATGCTCCTTTAACTCTGCACTAACAATAGAAACTCAGAAGTTCATTTGCACAGCCTTAACACCACAATATTGGTAACCCTGACATCCAAGCTCTTCTTAGAAGTGATTGCTTGTGGTCTGAATATTAACTATAGTGCAAGATGCTTGCAATGGGAACATGTGTTCTCCTTGCTTGAGGAGGTGTTTTAATAAAGCTTAGGTGAGAATGAGGAATGATAAATATATCTGGTGTACCTCAAACCTCCTTTAAGATAATTTTGGATGAGGAAACTATTTTTTCCAATAGGTTTTACTTTAAACTCCAACTCTGTACATTTAAAGTACTTTTTATTTTGCTTTTCTTCTTCCAACAGTTGTTTTCTTCAATTTTATTTCTTTAAAAAATAATAATAAGACCAGCAATGCCACTATCTCAGAATCAAGAAGAAATAACAATTTGCACGTCCCTTCAAGCCTCTGAACTTTACCACTGTAACATCCTCAGGCATTCTCTACTTGTGCGAAGCACAGCACATCAAGAATAATCTAGTGGTAGAGAATGTTCTCTCCTCACAACTGAAAGAGCGTAGGACTTACGTGCACCCTTTAAATAGAGCATAGCCTGAGGTGTCCAGTTTCTCCTTTGGAAATGATCCTTTATGCCAAAAAAGAAAAAAGACACGTTAACCATGCATGCCATTATTAACAACTACAAATACTTAAACGGCACCAACCTGTGAGATTCATGGATGCTGCACATGCAGTCTGAGCAAGCTGTTTACCTGAGGAGCACTCCAGGAGAAAGATATGAAGGATGCTGCAAGGAAGAGGGCCATCACAGATGCTGTCAGTTTACGCAGTCCCTGCACAAAACAAAGAAGCACAAGATACAGGAAAAACCTTTCAAATCTGTAGATCTTCTCAATTTCAAATCTAAATGTGAAGGTATTTCCAGCCCCTCCCTTCTCCCCATCTAGCTGCCAAAATTCTTCTAATTCAGTGGCTACTTCAGCTTCAGTTCACAGTTAGCTGATGGGAGGATGAATGTTAAATCAGAGCTACTTTATTCACTTCATTCATACTTATTATAAAGCTTCCATATAGGTGAGAACTGTGGCTGAGACAAGCACTTTTTGTGCTCCTATTTACAAGGACACTAGATCCTGCAGGAGTGAGCATAATGCACAGTCTTGGGGGAGGAGAGGATATAACATGTATCTTGATTTTACCAAAACATGAAGGATAGAGATGAGACAATAAGCAAATGTAAGAGACTTGCCATTTCAAGCAAGCAATGCACAAGAGCAGGTCACTATTTCCTGAGGAAAAGAAAGTTTTTAAACTTAGCATCCTATTTGCATCAACCGTGATTACACACGTCACGGGAGATGATTGTTAGATTCTTGGAGTTTGTTCACTGATGCAGCACATGCAAATGAATGCTTTGAGCTTGAATCCTCTGTGAACAAATTGCATCTCTCCTCCTTCACACAGATCATTTTGCTGTTCATGCATTGATAACTGTGATGGGCAACAAAGAGCATCTAACTACTATGATTCCCAGTGGTTTATTTCATCCTGTTTTTGAGAGCAGATTGTGCTATTAATTGTTTTTTTTTTTAATGCAGTGGTTTTGAGCATACTGAAAATAACTGTGTTTACATTTATCTCAGATTATTTTTAAACTAAAATTATTAAACCCCTCTGCAGGTCCTAAAATATCACACTCACGTCAAAAAGCATAAACTGCAAACTGAAATGTTTCCCATACATCAAAAGAGTCTCACTCACCTTCATACTTAGTTCAGCTGCAAATCTGTAGTCTTCTTACTTGAGATCGAGTGTTATAAGATCTCCTAGTGGTTTGGGGGTCCCTTTTTAAATCTTCAGAGCAAAGGTCCCCTCCCCTTCTGTGGCAGGGCGGAGGAGTCTGAAGGGATCTCTTGTCAGCCCCGTAGATGGAGAAGTAGAAGGTCTGATGACTCCTGAGGGAAACCTATGGTCTTGCAGGAAGTCAGAGGAGTGATTGAAAGGTGGACACATTTCGATATGCACCCCATTAGCCAGGTGAATACCTTCTGAATATATCAGCATCAACCCTGTGACTTCTCCCGGTGTGTCTGCAATACAACGTCACCTTCTTGCCAGATGATCAATAACCACAGTCAGAAGCAGATATTAATATGGATGACGAGTTCTTACCTAGGATAATCAAACATATATCAGCTTATCATCCACTGTGAGAGCTGTATAAGCTAGTAAGTTACTCTCCAGACAAAACATGTCAACATGAGAGAAAAAGGTGACTTAGTGTTCACTAGCTTGAGGTTACTCCTAGTACACTTTCAGAGGATGAAGTCTCCTTTGCTTCTCTGATAATCTTTTCCTGTAGTTTTCTTACATACAAGTAAAAATACAAAGCTGAATTAAAAAAATTACTAAGAGTCAGAAACACTTTGCTGTCTCAAGGATTAGTTGGAGTAAAAGCCCAGATCATGGCTTGAATAGGTCAAACAGTGGAGCAGTAAACAAAGGCAGGCAGGAAGCAGGAATCAGAGAAGCCATTTTCATAAGCTACTTCTAAGTGATTGTTGGATTCAGCACAGCTATGGATGGAGGTTTTGGTCCTCAGGCAACGGACCAATCATTCTCAATACCTAGCCTTACTGGTTCTGTATCTAGGGTTTTTATCTCCGTCCCGTCATTTTCTCCTTACTAAAATGGGAATGGGAAGCAAGAAACACAAACAGAGAGCCAGAAATTTACTGATTAGAAGACTGACTAATAGAAAATTAACAGCAGCAGCCTCACAAGCAGGACCAGCCTGTGGTATAGTGAAAACACAACTCGGCACATAAGTGTGACAAACACGAGGAGTGTGCAGGTAAGCAGTGCTAAGGGTTGTTACAGGCTTTTCATCTGACATGATGTCTCTGTGGAGACCAGTTTGAAGCACACTGTTACTGTGGATGCAGTTACTCTCCTGCTAATGGGGGGAAATTGCTCAGTTCTGTGCTGATGCCAGAGAAAATTGGTCATCCAACATACAAAATTGGCATTAGCTCTGGCATGGATGCAAGGAATGAGAAGGCAGTATAGGTTTTGGCCTCACACACTCTCATTATGGTTGGGAGCTGCCGTTACCTCTGTCCTTTAAAAAGATGGTGCCATGGTGCACCTTTAGCTACCAGAAGGGATTCTACTTGCATCTTCTTCAATGTGAGGTTTACATTTTCCCTGCCATTCTCCTTATTTTCTGACAGAACATCACGGTGTTTAACCCTCAGCCTTAGAAGGGGGTTACACGTTGCATCCAGGAGACATTGAACAAGCAGAGACTTACAAAAGATAAAGCTACTCACCTATTCCTTTTTGTGGTGACTTCAGAGTCTCTCTTTCTGCACAGACCACAGGGCGAGAATCAAAACCCACAAGTAAGTCTGTGAAAATTAGCCCCCTACCTTCAGTACTGCTCACTCTAAAGTATCTTGTCCTCACAATGGTTCTCTTTGTGATAAAACTACCAGATTGTGCTTGGCACTGAATATAGGCCCTGGGTCTCCTGCCACTGGCATAAGCCCCGAAACGGAATGAGATAAGTTAACACAAACTAAACGGTGAAGAGAATCAGCTCAGCCCCTCCTGCTGGAATTGGGGAGAAGGGGAGCAGGATGAGGAGCATGAAGAGAGGTTTGTGTTGTTACCACACTATCAGAAAAACAACCTCAGCTTTTCTTGACCAGTTTGCAAATAAAGTCTGAGTTGCTCTCAGCTGGTGTTACTGGGGTCCCACTCTCTCTTCCAAATCTAACTGAGTTGCCAGAGTCGCACTCTCATCTTTGTACAGACTGGGGCTTGTCTGAGGCTGCCCAGAGAACAGCAGGGAGCTGAACAGGATGCGTCAAAACCTGAACTGGCTTATTGTGGGATCAGGTGACTATTAGCACCAGGAAAATGCAGGGCCATGCAGCATCCTCTAGATTAACTAAAACTGTTTTACTCCTCAATCCTCAGCTGTCTCAACAGTCCAGAAGTTAGGTGCCTAATTTCAGCTAGTATCAAGAGACAGGCTACATTGCCTAAACACGTCCCAGAGCACGTGAGACAACAACATGGGACTGTTAGTTATGACTTAGGGTCTGCAAGGGACCCAAGACCTTGTGGAGAAGCAGTTGGAGGGCAGGTAGGATCTCTAGGGCACCTAAACTGCAACTAGATGCTTATGTTTATGAACCAAATCACTCCTACATTCTCCCTCTCAGTCAAGGGAAACAAGACTTCAAAGACCACCCTCTGGTGCTGCAGTATCCAACTGTAAAAGGGAAGGACTAAATTCCCCTCTGGAGGTGTCTTTCTCTCTTCATTGGCTACAGACAGAGCCTAGACAGCCAGCACTTCACAGACAGCACCACGTGAAATGAACATAATACCAAATCAAATTTCCAGTCGTCTAATATTAGGAACTTCATAATCCTTACCCAAAAAGTAAGGAAATAAGGCAGAGACTAAAGAGGAAAGTCATTTCCTTAAATTCGCTGTGCCTTTGTGACTTAGGGCCTCTGTGTACTTTTATTGTGACCAGTGATTCTAAGTTGCTGCGGTATTTTAAAAAATATATATCCTAAATCACCTCCATGGAAATATATTAAGAAGTCTGTGTGGAAAACAAGGAATGGACTCCAGACTTGTCAGTCCTACTTTAGTGATTAAAATTTAAATGATATTTGTTCTCCCTTCATAGCTCATTCTTGCCATGATTCTATAAAAGGTGACCACCTCATTCTTCCCAGAAATGTAGCCACTTCAAGGGTGCTGTATGGGACATGATTTCTTTGCAAACAGCAGCAGGAGGAAACAAAAAAGGGAAAGCATTTACTGAGGGTGTCTGCGTTCACTAAGTTCATGTGTATATGGGCATATATAAGCCTCCACCCCTGAAAAACGAAGTAGCCTATAATTGGGTTACGGATCATAACACACTAAAAGACTACAGCACTTCAGGTTGATGAAGTCTACATGAAATACTCAATGTCAGTTCTGCCATTTCTCAGCTGATTCACAGAAATGAGGAAGCAGCTTTGGCATGTAATCAATACGCTAAGTGAGAGAAGTAGAGTGAAGCTCTCTGTAGCAGCAGGATCCCTTATTAGAAAGAACGTAACTTATGCTTATCTTTAAAGATGATCTAAAGGGCAGTGACTGCTTACCCTGACATTGTAAATGATAAAAGCCAGTTGCTATGACTGGAGTTCAGTGCTGAGGTGGGTGGAAGAGTTCTTTTGCGGTGGAGCTTTACCTAGCAGGGTCAAACACACGTGGCTGACTTGCA